TAACTTCAAGACAACGATGTGCTTATCCTAAGACATATCTAAATGATATCAGAAGCACTGGTGCCAGGAAAACAACTAGAATATATTGAATTTACAGAGCTTATATAATTTAATCCAATAGTTTTTGTAAAAATATTAATTTCTTTTATGAATTAAATCAATTAAGTAGACTCTGTGCCTTGTCACTGTATATGTATGCATTTAACCGTACAAATAGAAAAGAGAAAGTGATAAATGAAAATACATTTATTACTTGATGAATGAAACATGTAGCAGGTTAAAACGTTCATAAGCGTGACTACGGCGCGGATGCAGACGGGCACTGCCTCCAACCTTTCTACAGAGAGAGAGAGAGAGGGGGGGGGGGTCTGTTACATCTGGGGACGAACAACCACAAGAGGTGGCATTTTGAAAATAAATCTTATTACTAATCTCAATTGTTCCTTATATGTGAATTATAAATATATCACAATGTTATAATGTTAATTTTTATTGTTATTCAAAAAGGGAATGCTTCAATTTTTTTTTTTTCAAATTGACTTATCCATTAATATAAATATGTTTTAAAAAATTGCATATAGATTTTCTTTTCTGTTTTTTTTTTTTTTTTTATTTTATTTCTCTATTATATCTATTACAGCTCAATACATGAAAACGGGATAAGAATGGACAAACCTGATAAAAAATTTGAAATGAAAATCGAGGAATAGCGATTATTTATAAAATTTCTGAAACATTTTATTATTACCAATACATATCAAGCGCGGATACAGGCATTATCCGGAGAGGGAAGGAGGGTACAGAGCCGCGCACTCAAAAAAAAAAAAAAAAAAAAAAAAAAAAAAAAAAAGACTCAGACATTATTGTCAAGCAAGGATAAAAAACCATAAACTTATTCATACCTTATATAGCTATTTCGTTTTGGAGGGGGAGGGGGTGTTAAATCGCTTTGCCTTTATAGATATACAGAAGATGTATAAATGTATGTGACTTTCTATGCCATTGTAACAGGGTCCGTGTTTTCTAGAGGGATTGGGTTTACTATTAATATCATTTCAACAACTCTAAAAATCCCAAGGGGACCGGATCCCATGACCACGCCCCCCCTCCCCAATTACGACATCTTAACTAAAGATATTCCTAAGGTGCTTTTGTTTTACATCCAAAGACGTATCTTAAGATATTCCTAAGATATGTACAAAGTATGCTGCTGGTTCTGAGATGGTTGGGGAAAAGCCGCATATGATTAGGTGATAGAAAGCGAATTCGTGTCGGACGTCTGAGAAAAATTGATTGAAATTCTAGCTTGAAGTTAATTTTCAATCCAAATTTGCTTTTCTCATACGCTTGATGCAGAAGACAAATAATAATTTCAATTTCCGAATAGTTTGAATTCAATTCAGATTAGAAACTTCTATCCAATCTATTCTTTTAAAGAAATCATCAATATCTTTTAGGGCACGACAATTTTCATTCTATTGGGGGGGGGGGGGCTAATTAAGAGGGGGACGCTGGCATAATTTGGAAATAAAGAATCTGTTCTTGAAAATACATGTATAAAAAATCTCTCCTCCAGTGACCGAAATCAATGGTATTAAGCCGATATCCGTGCCAGTAGGTACGCATACATGTGTCCTCAGATGTCGAAAAGCTCCACAGCTTCGAGAGTTTACATCTATAGATATACTTATATATCCCTTCAATCTGTTGGTGAATTAAAATGATTTGAAGATATATACATATACATAGTCTTTAAACCTATAAAGCAGAGAGAAATTTGCATCATATACCTTTATACAATACATTAAATCAAAGGAAATGATTCAAGCGCTCAAAATCTGAATAATCACCAAAGAAAACCCAACATTTCAAGAAAAAGAATATGGGTCACAATGTAATTAAATATTGGGACTTTATCAAAGATTTAAGCATACACTTCGATATTGTGGTAGGCGAAATAATGTACGGTCGAATCTCCAAATATGTTACAGCTCCTCGAATATATCTGTTTTTGCATCTCTTCGTAGCTTACAAAAATGTATATAATTATTATTATTGCCTCATTTCTAAACTGTTTTTATAATGTATGGATTATTTCCGTACTGTATAAGGTGGAGACCGGTCCTTAGGATAAGACCGTATAAACCGAAGTCCCTTGTCGCAGTAGATGCTGGCACGAAAAAGATCTCTCTATGCTCAAAAGCCGCAAGTGTCGAGTACAGGTCTAAATTTGCAGTCCCCCACCAGCAAGTGTTGGCGTCTCAATATGATTGAAACATTCTCGAAGGGACGTTAAACAACTAAGCAAACAAACAAACATTTTTATACATTGTATTTTCGGTACATGTAAAAGTATATGTATTCTTTCTCTACATTAGATTTGGATTTGGATTCATCTGTCTTTTGCAGATACACCTGTATGCATGGTATTATTTAATCTGAGACCCCCCCCCCCCCAAACACACACTTTCCACACTTTTCTGTGGTAGCGTTGAACCGCTTGCACCGTATTGTACAGAATATACTTCGTGCAGAAAAGAAAATGAGAGTATTACACCACCCCCTTCCCCTCCTTTCTCAGTTTTAAGAATTTAAGTTTTGTAAAATAGTCAACAGCCTATTTCCCTTTATTGCTTGTAAACATTTTGCTTTTTTAACATTTAAAAAAAATCCTGAATGTTTTCCTGTGGCTCAACCCCTCTCCAACTTAAAAAACATTGTTACAGACTTGAAGCTACAAACTTTACTTTTCACGATTGAAAAGATTCATTGTCGACGGATTTTTCCGTATTTCACGATCATGACAAGGAGCACACGGCGGGTATGACCGGTCGGCAGGGGATGCTCGCTCCTCCATGGCATCTGATCCCACCTCTGACATTTTAGAGGTCCGTGTTTGCTCTGCTCCCGATTTGTATTGTTTAATGGACATTTGAGCTTGAATACCGTTCGTTATCTACATATATTTCATTCATTCTTTTTTGTTGCAGTATAGTCATTTCAAGGTAATGTATTAATAAAATTTGGTACTGAAAGATGGAACACCTACCCTCCCCCCTTACACCTCCCACGAAATAGGATTTTCGAGTATGTTGAATTTTTTTCTCTTGCTGCCCCAACCCCCCTTTTTTTCAAAAACGATGCTACGTTCCTGTGAAATATTTGACAGATACATTTATGCGCAAATTGTTAAAATGCAAAGAATTAGAAAAAATAAAACTAACAGGTACCGATATCATTTACACATGGTTTTATGTCCAAAACATCAAGGTACGCTTATCACCTTCATACGAGATATATAATTTATTTGTCGGTTTTATTCAACTCTGCTTGTCACTAGCTAATTGTTAAGACTCAATATATCTACAATTCACTTTGATTCATTTAATGAAATATGACAAAAATAACAAAATCAAGCGGTGTAAACTCATGAACCTGTCAAGCTCGACGTCATCTTGGGATATGCGTACCTACTGGTATAGATATCGGCTTAATACCAGTGAATATTAAAAAATAATAATCCGACAATGACTGGTGCGCCTCTCGCATGAAATGCATCATTGCTGACCAAAAACTTTTACACATGTAGTTGTTGGAAAGCTTTTTCTTACAAATATTTTTGATATAAACAACAAATTTAAGCATTTGCTGTTAATGAATACATAATATGAATGTGTAATAAAATATCTAAAGAAAACCTGGATAGACATTTAAATTTTTTAAGTAAAAAAATTTATTTATGAAAATAAAACACAATATATGTGAATATTTTTTAAGCCTATGGATAAAATCTTCATAAAACTAGTCAGAACTATGGAGAACATGTTAGTCAAACATATTTAAAAAAGAAATTGAAATGAAATTGCAAAATTTTAGGGAAACTATTTTTTTTTCAATATTTAGACCAATCCCGATCAAAATTAACACAAAATAAATAAGATGAAATTATTGCCTTCTTTAAGTATTTACCACTAAGAAATTTATTTATTTGTCAAGTTCAATTACTTTTTAATGCGTATTACACCTTAACAAACTTATATTTCTTCTGAAAATATTATCTATTATCAATTATTATAAAATTCTGGTTGGGATCAGTTTAATTTGGATCGGGATCGGCTAAAATTTGTAAAAAATAATTTCTCTAAAATTTCGCAATTTCGTTTCAATTTCTTTTTCAAATATGATTGTCTAACATATCCTTTGTAGCTGTGACTTGTTTTTTGAATATATTATCCATATGTTTTGAAAATATTCACAAATAATGTACTTTTTCGAAAAAAAATTTTTAGTAAAAAAATTAAAATGTCTATCTGGCTTTTCTTCACATATTTTATGAGATATTTATATTATGCATTCATTAACATCAAATTTTTAACTATAAAGCATCTTATTTGCAAATAAAACATTTTTTTTTCATTTTCTACGAAAAATTGGAGAAAATTCTTATAAAATAATTAAGAGCTAGGCCTTTCAATGCTGAAACCATGACTTAAGGAAGCTCTAAACACTGCACACTAAAGAGTTCTATTTGTAGGGTAGTTTTATTGGGTGATTTGCCCTTAGAAGAAAAATAGTATAAATGGGAATCTACAGTTAATGACATAATTTCTTATGAATTAAAGTATTCTTAATGTTATGTTAGACCAAGATTAAGTAATTGAATACATTATTTCCATTAATTTTCCTGATGCAAGTAAAAAACAGTGATTTCTGTTCACAAATAGTTCATTGTCTTTGAACATTTTTTCTGCAGAAATAAGGCAGGTACCCTATGTTGAAAATGAACTTGATACACTGAATATGTGCACCTTTATATGATATATTTTTCTCAAAGCCCAAAAAGCATTTTTCATTAGTGTTTAGAGCTTCCTTAACATGGATGTCTTAAGACCAATGGAATTAAATTTTGGTGTGGCATTCCTCCTTAAGGAAGTAATTATGGGTCCAGTTCCTAATGAATAGAAAGCCTCATTTGCGGTTTGTATAAACAAGAGCATAAATTATTGATATAAAATTTTATTCAGAAGAGAAATCACAAATAAATACCTCACCTTTAATATCATCAATGTTCATTTTTGCATACTTAAACATACATCAATAACAAGATGTGTTTGTGAAACACTGATGCCCCCGTATGGCAGCTTATGGCGAAGGTAAAAGTTTCTCAAATGCAAGTCAAAATCCAGGCCAAAAGATAAAAAATGTTAAATTTGAAAGCGCTAGCTGCAACTGTTCAAAAGTTATGGCGAAGGTTAAAGTTTTTTTATAAGTCAGTAAAACGTTAAGGTCAAGGTCAAAGTTGTTGGTATCCAAAGGAAGGTCTTGTCACAAGGATTACATATGTGAAGTATGAAAGCCCTAGCTGCAACCATTCAAAAGTTATGGCCAAGGTTAAAGTTTTTCGAAAGTAAGTCAAACTCCTATGTCAAGGTCAAAGGGTCAAAGTGGTTGGTATCCAAATGAAGGTCTTGTCACAAGGATTACATATGTGAAGTATGAAAGCCCTAGCACCAACCATTCAAAAATTATGGCCAAGGTTAAAGTTTTTCAAAAGTAGGTCAAACTACTAGGTTAAGGTCAAAGGGTCAAAGTGGTTGGTATTCAAAGGAAGGTGATGTCACAAGGATTACATATGTGAAGTATGAAAGCCCTAGCTGCAACCATTCAAAAGTTATGGCCAAGGTTAAAGTTTTTCGAAAGTAGGTCAAACTCCTAGGTCAAGGTCAAAAGGTCAAAGTGGTTGGTATCCAAAGGAAGGTATTGTCACAAGAATTACATATATAAAGTATGAAAGCCCTAGCTCTAACCGTTCAAAAGTTATGGCCAAGGTTAAAGTTTTTCAAAAGTAGGTCAAACTCCAAGGTCAAGGTCAAAGTTGTTGGTATCCAAAGGAAGGCCTTGTCACAAAGAATACACATGTGAAGTTTGAAACCCCAAGCACCAACTGTTCAGAAGTTATGGCCAAGGTTAAAGTCTCATAAAATTTTGCAAAAGTGGGTCAAACTCCAAGGTCAAGGTCAAAAGGTCAAATATGATGGTACCCAAAGAAAGGTCTTGTCACAAGAAATAAACATGTGAAATATGTCATAGCTCCAACCAATCAAAAGTTATGGGCAAGATTAAAGGTGACAACAGACAGACAGACAAACAGACAAACAGATAAACAGACAAACAGACAGACAGGACAAAAACAATATACCCCCAGGATCTTTCGATCCGGGGGCATAAAAAGAATTGTTATTACTTAAAAAATGTGTAACTATATAAATCAATACTAAAAAAGTCTAACATTTCCAATGTTTTACTGAGCGTTCATAAAAAAAATGATGTTTGACTGCAGAGTGAGATATTGGACATTGGACCGCTTATGTCACAATGTTGGCAAGATCAGCTTAATCTTATTTTCATCTGTTGGTGTTCGACAGTAACAGAATTGACCAAGTTTAATGCAGTGCAGGTAAAGGAAATTAACATCACAGAAGCCAGCACGAGTACAGTCATAACTGAGGTACAATGTAGTAGGCCTCTTGGAGTAAATAGAGAACAAGTATCAGCTGTCAACATGCAGTAGACCTGAAACAAAGTGAGAAAAATTATTACATCACTTGTGTCAGCTAAAGGTGCTGTGAGCGAGCTAACAAAATAATAAGGTTATAACCCTGCTGCAATTCTTTTATTTAGAATGTGTAAATGTGACCTTGAACTTACCAAAATGACTTTGGTAAAAAAAGGACAGATCTTTGGACATGATTAATCTAAGAGTGAAATATGGACATCCAATTTTTCTCCATTAATACAAAATAATAGACTTACATTTTTTCTGCCAGAGACCTTGAACTTGTCACAATGACCCTCAGGTCAGAAAAAAATTTTTGTAGCAAATTAAAGCTCAGTTACAAAGTTATTGACTGGACAAGAATGTTACCTCTTATCTGCCAGTGACCTTGAACTTGCCAGAATGACCTTGGTCAAGGTCAAGACAAACTTCCAGGTCATAAACAATCTTTGTAGCAAGTAAGAGCTTCCAATGATTCTCCATTACAAAGTTACAGCCTACACAAGCGTTTTATACCTTTTAAGCCAGTGACCTTGAACTTGCCAGAATTGCCATGGGCCAAGGTCATGACACACTCTCAGGTCTTCAATAATCTTTGTACCAAGAATGAGCCTCAATGATTCTCCATTGCAAACTGATATCCTGGACAAGAAGTTTATATCATTTCTGTCAGTGACCTTGAATTTTGACAGACTGTTTGATGGGATCCCGCCAATCAAGTCGGGTTCATCAGGACATTTGAGCAATATAAGCCTTAAAGATTCAACAAAAGTAGTTTTGCCCTCGACTTGTTAATAACAGCTGTGGCTAAAAATAGTGATTGGGTCATGTGGGGATTTTTTCTTTACAGAGCAATGACTGTTTACAATCTAACATATAAGAAAGGATAAGATAGGCTAAGATCCCTTTTTGGCCCCTGGTTTGAGGTGTCTTTTAGAATGTTGCACCAGTTTTTCAGTTAAAAACCTGTTGTCACCCCTGCCATAAATTGAGTATTGTTTCTAAGTTATGGGATACACAGAGGCCACAGGAAGGTCAAGAAAAATGTCAGTTTCCGAATTTTCTCATTTTATGTAAATTTTCATTGGTTTTACAGCACATTTGGGTTCAAAAAACATAGAGCACAAGCTTGCCTATCTACCAAATTTATATATTTCATACAATAGTATCAGATGCATCTTATGTATAAAAATCTCAGATAGGCAGCCTTGTGCTCTATATTTCCCAAAGTGAAAAGTATCTCAAATCAGGGATTTAAATTTTCCTGGAAAACCCACTAGCCCAGGGGCTATTGACCAGTAAAAAATTACTTGCCCAAACCTCAAACTAACTAGCCCAACAACTTTTTCATGCGAAATGAAAACATAACAAGTAAAAGTTTTAAAGGCTGTGGTGACAGAAACAAATTAAACTACAATGTATTTCTCAGTCTAATGAAACCACTCGACATAGAAAAGTGAAAGTAAACTGTTGAGATTTTTTCCCCATTTTGCTAGTCCGATGGACTATCATTACATCTGAATTAGCTAGCCCGAGTCTTAAATTGACTAGCCCCGGGCATCGGGCTACCATATATTTCAACCCCTGCAAATTTGCAAAATGCAACCAGAATTGAGGAAATTCCGGAAAATAACCTACTTCTACACCCTTTTGTGGCCTCCGTGTAAGCTTTGAATCAAAATTAGTGCTGGTTTTAAAACAAGCATTATTTTTAATTCTTACCTACAAACTATCACAATTTTAACTGTGTTCTGATTTTCACATCAAACAAGGGGCCAGATTCGGCCGTTACCATACCTTGTCCTTTCTTTAAAAGTTTGTAGATTATTTATTTGAAGGCGAAATGGGGGTTCAACAGTAATTTTATCAATACGACCAATTGGTCTTTTACACGACTGGACCACTCATTTACTAGACTGGGTCAAACATGCCTTAGTGTCAAACCCTGTTGAACTAGCCGGAATGACCTTGGGTCAAGATCTTGACACACCAACAGGTCATAAACATTCTTTGTACCAAGTTTGAGCTTCCAATGACCAACAAGTTGGCACCGATAGACTGACAAGGTGATTCTTATATATTCCCCCAACCTTTATTGTGGGGGTAGAAGACCAGCATGATGAATATAAGACAGAACATTCAGGATCTAAATGAAAAATGGGGACTCCTGATACACGTATCAGAGTGGAAGGAGATGCTCAATACAAAAATGCCACCTTCAGTGCCATTGGGAAAACCCAATTCTAAGCTGCTACCCAAGTGACATATACTGTGTTCTTAGAGGAAGAAAATTGTAGCAGTGTTCTATGGAAATAAATTTTGTAAGAAAGGTGAAAGCTGAGAAATAAAGGAAAGGAAGTTACCTGCCCAGCCATGAGGACTGTACTGTCACCATTCCTCCAAAGACAATGATTGTGGATGAGAAGAGATGGGCTGCAGAAAGTGAAAGTGAGCTGCAAAGTGATGACCATCCACTAGTCATCTTCTATTTCACCAGTGGTGGTTAAGGTGCCACTCTATACAGATTATCTGAAAAACAAGGAAATTTCATTGAAAACCTAAAAGACTTGCTGCAATTCTTTGATTCTCAAAGAAAACAGACAGCTATGGCTCAATTAGCAGCCACACATTTCTGAGAAGAATAAAAGAATCCACACAATGAAAATTTGCCTTTGACCTAAAGCTTCAATGCAAAACAGAGTAAAAAAAAATATCAGTATTATTAGCACTATTCCATGAGATTTACCTTTGATTAAGTGGGCCATGTCTTCTACCATCAATTCAATCATAAGCTGCTACCAGAAACAGTGTGGAAAGTCCTGTCAACTTACCGGTAATTCCTTTTCCTGTCGATGACTGAAAAGCAATGAGTGGAAATTTCAGTGTTGCCTAGTGACTATGAATTAAACATGACAGAAGAAAATGTTTGTTAGAAGATTATTAACTTGACTTTTAAGTCCAAATAATCTTGCTAGCTAAAATTAAAAGAGTGTTCCAAGGAACACATGTGTCACCTGATGAACAGCATCATTATTTAAGATTAAAAGAAAATCTAAGGGTGGTCAAATATTATTTGATACAAGCATTATGAGGGCTGTTAAGAGATTATTACTACATAGTGTTTATTTTTCTTTCCAAGTAATGCCTTTTGGTGAAAAATGGCATATATGTTTGACAAACACTAAGAATTAATAAAAGCAACAAATATTTTACAAATATTTTACAAATATTTTATTTCTTCTTTTCAATGGTATATTAATGGGTAAATAGAAGGGGTACCCGGTGCCGTCACGAAATCATATATTGAAATATGTTATACCAAAGTTCAAACTCACAATGGACCCATATACAGCAAGAGCGAAAATAATTCAAATTATATATCGGTATTTATTTTTTCAATTTCATTTCAATTCATTTTGTGCAAGCTTCTTAGAATTTCAATCAGAAATACGGAGATCATAAAAAATCTAAGCTAGGTATAGATATCTGATTACATCAATAAAATAGATTTTGACGTCAACGCGACACAGCAAGCATACCTATAGAATTTTACGTAGCTCTGTGGAGAACTCTTTTCCAGACTAAAAGATCTGCTAAAACAATAACAACTAGTGCTAACTGTAACGAGAACTGTTTCAGATGTTCCCCAAACACTTCCCCATTCTCTTATGGGCCCCATTCATTACAGGCTTCATTTAATTATGCAGTTCTTTTGTTTAATAAATCTATACTTTATTTTCAGTAGTATTTATTCAAAAAACAACACTGGTATAGTTCTTTGAGTATTAGCCAATTGGATTTCAGTGCATGCTAGGCCTGAGTATCGCAAACTACCTAACAATATGATACATATCATGATACGCTCATGTGATATACAACATGTACCATGATACAGCTGTCACCAATTGAATTAAGCTTTATCTTAACATATAATTCTTTGCTAACTCCACAGTTATAGAAAATATACAAAGAATATCTTGATAACCCTTATCAAAGTTAATAAAAGGTGGATTTATAGTCTTGATATTGTATTTTTTCTTTGCTACCTTTTTTCAGCCATTTTAAAACATTAAAATTTGTTAGGTTGAATGTAGAAGTTACAAACAAAACAATGAAAATTATCTTCTACTGTATCGCAATACATACATGGCGATACGCGTATCGTCAGCCCTTGCCATCAATACGATTATCATCGATGTATTGCTGTATCGTTACACCTCTAGCACATGCACATGCCCATATTTTCTAAATATTTCATATTCCTTCCTCGTGAAGAGACTCACAGTAAATAGCTATGTAAGAAATCTAAAGATTTTCATTGAAAACTATGAGAGATACAGCCATATAAGTATTAGCAAATCAGAATCCATGTTCTTGCATTCAATTTTCATAGTAGCACAATGTAAGAACCCATTACACCTATCTATATTGTAAATTCCATCCAGTTTTGTTAAAAACTAAGAAAGTTACTACTGTAACAGCCATTTAAAGTTTAAGCCAATCAAATTGCAGCACACTTGCATGAGCGTGTTTTCACAATATCTCATATATTATATCAAAATGTAGAGCCTTTTTGTGTATGACTATGTTTTAAATTTCAAAGCATTTCATCAAAAAAAAAAAAAGGTCATTGAGATTTTTTGTGTCAGTCAAACAGAGCAAAGCACACATGCATGCACATGCTTTCTTACTAATTCAACCACCTCTTCTTGTCTACACCACTAATATAAGTTTATACAATGAAGTTCAAAGCATATCATAAAAAAAACAGGAAGGTTAATGGTGTTTTAATTGCTTCAGTCATTTCACTCCTTGCACGTGCACGCATGTGCATGTAAGTGTGAGTAAAATGACCTTCCTTCTGCACATCTACACAACATGCCTGTTAACCCTAAAAAGGTTTCATCTCAATCAGTTGAGTAGTTTCTGTGATGACAGAGAAAGAAGCATTAAAGCTTCCAGACTGTCTCAACATGGTAAAGATCTATGGCTGGCATGAGATGAAAATGAAGAAGCAATGATGCTTTAGGTCAATAGACATATGCAAGTTTATAATTCCAATGGGACATGTCTAATTATCCTATCAATTAGAAATTTTGCATAGCTGTTTTATTTGTTCTTGTTAAAATGTTGACAAATTTTCATGAATTTATGTCTTTCTTTTATGGAGTAAAAGTAAATGTCTCATTAATTTCAAAATAGCCCTTATATAGCAAAGAAAAAAATCCACAAATAGTAAGACCCATACAGAAAAGCATTTATCATATAAAATCTGAAAATAGATATATGATTCTCCACCCTTCAAAGCTACAGTGAGTTATAAAATTGAAATTAACAAGAAGTCTGTGAGCCAATGTTCACTAGTAATACCCCCGCTTTGATGTGAATATACATTCTGATGTGAATATACACAAGTTCAGTTATGGACAGACACAAGGATGAACAAGAAGTTGACATCGGATTTGTACAAAAATGAATCCCACCATATGACATGCCTAAACAAAGAATGTGCTAAAATTTCAAGCATCTGCAATCAGTAGTTGCTGAGAAAACTGCGACCAAAATTTGTTATGTATGGTACGGACAGATGCACGGATAAACAGGAAGTTGACATCGGATTCTTACAAATATAAATCCCACCATATGGCATGCCTAAACAAAGAATGTGCTAAAATTTCAAGCATCTGCAATGAGTAGTTGCTGAGAAAACTGCAAACAAAATTTGTTATGTATGGTACAGACAGAGGCACGGATAAACAGGAAGTTGAAATCAGATTCGTACGAAAATGAATCCCACCATATGGCGTACCTCAATAAAGTGTGTACTAAAATTTCAAGCATCTGCAACGAGTAGTTGCTGAGAAAACTGTGACAAAATATTTGTTACGGACAGACAGACAGACACACAAGGGTAAAACAGTACACCCCCCTCTCCTTCGGAGTGGGGGTATAATAATTAAAATAATTATTTTTAATAAATATATCTTTATCCCAGATATCTTCCAAAAGAGATTTCAGTCTCTATTCACTCTATAACAATACTTTTGGTATACCCATCCTGATGTCTTTTCATTGTATTTAAATTTCAGTTTGTGTGGTTATATTGCATACAGTTTCAAAGTACAGTGTCATGAGCTCATATACAGTAACATGTGATATAAATGCTAATTATCAAAATCCTGCCTCTCAAAATCAAAAAACAAAGAAAAAATAATAATAATTCAATCAACCGCCAGAGTGATTTTATAAAATCAAAGGTCAAGGTCAACTGAATTGTAATGTAACAAACTCACTTGCATTGAACTCTCTTTGTTTGAAAAATCGGTTTGTTTGAAATGAACTGGGTTTCTTCTAAAATGCTGGTACAGTTTCTTTGCAATAAATACTCGTTTAGACTGAAATCGGTTAACTTGAAAAACTCTGTTAATTTGAAGTGATTTTGGGGTCCGCTGAACACAAAGCTTATAGCAGTTTTGATAACGGGTACATTGAAGTTGCCGATTGCGACGCGTGGACTCAGGTGACTGACTATATATAAAGTCTAGCACGTGTTAATTTTTCACAGGTGATTTGATGTTGGTGGACCTGTACAAATTTAATTATGTGTTGTATAGATAAAACAATAATCATTGAGCATTTCTCACCAGAACATATTAGTTGCCATTTTTATTTTCCAACTACGGCATTAAGACCGACATGGATAAAATACGCAGGGGTGTCATGTGTACATTGGTGTGTGGAGAATAGGGCTGTGTATTGACCAAAATATTTTGATAAGATATTTTATAAAGCAATATGCAATATATTGGATTCTTAAATAAGTTTAGCAAAAAGGTCTTGTAAATCATTTAATGCATAAATTTGATAAAAACTGGGTGTTAATACCAAATTGGAAGTTCACATGTCTCACTGTCTTTACAAAGAACACTAGCTAATATGTTAAAATATAGTTGTATATGAATTTTGCAATAGTTAATTAAGATGTGCTATCTCCTTAATGTTTATTTTATTATTGACCAGTTTTAATTAAAAACAGTTAAAAATTATCTTTGGTGACTGAAATTCCCAACTTTTTCACAGCATTATAAGAAAAACTGTCTGCCTTATACGTATTGGAAGTTAGTTTGTCGATACGATAAATTCTTGAATATCGATATGTATTGATTAATCAATATATTGACACAGCCCTAGTGGAGAAAGTGCAGGAGTAAATAAATCCACTGTAATTAAGTAGATGGAAAATAAAATTCTTGAATTGAAGTATATGAAGCATATGTTTTCAATGCTGATGAGACAGGGCTGTTCTATAGATTCGAACCTGACAAATGATTGCATCTATGCGGCAATGTTCAGGACGAACTTTTTTCATGTATAAATAGTCTTGATAGTTTTCTAACACAGATCAAAAAAAAAATAAAATAAAATAAAACAGTAAAAAAAATTTAGGACTTTTTTGAAAAATAGAGATAAGTACATTTCTGAAACACTGCATGTAATGTTATGTAAAAAATATGAATTCTCACATGTATATTTTTTTTACTGTACGGTCAAGCCTCGGTACCTCTAACTTGAAGGGACTGAGAAAAAACTTTGAGATATCTGAGGATTCGAGATATCGAGGGTAAAATACTTACAGAATAAGTGGTTGGGACAGCAAATCACTTTGACATATCCATGGTATTCAAGATATCAGTGTTCCAGATAATGAAGTTCAACTGTATCTACATTTTTTATGTAATTCATAGCACACAGATATAATGAAATTCGGTTAATTTGAAATAAATCTCAAGGTCCCTTAAATTTCAATGTAAACGAGTTTGACTGTATATGGTATTTTACAAATTAAGCCAAAGTGCCAAGCAATGCAAGTGCAAAGTATCAAATCCATTCCTCTTACAGTTCTCAGATCTAGGGTATGACAGACAGACAGACACCATGTAAAGTGATCTCTAAGTGTCGCTTTTACCAAAATTTTTTTTCATAATTATTTTGTTTTCTTACCTCTCTGAAGAGCATGACAAAGGTTACATAGGTGATAGGTAGAAATACATGTCATGGGATGTATTGGTGTAATCTTTTTAGTGAGCAGATTGCATCATGCATTGTTTATCTGCCGTTGCTGATCTTTAACAAGGAAGACTTCTCCTGAAATAAGAAAAATTATTTTCAAAAGTGAAGTTACCTGTTACTCTTAAAGGGACATAGACACTGATTCGACATTTTGAAATATTTTCTCAAATTGTCTGTATTATATCATGACATATATGTGGCTATAGCATTTCACACGGAAATATAATAAAAAACTTATTTTATCTGTAAATTATTGAGACTATGAATTTTGGGATGCGTTTGATTGACACATCCTTGCACTTTCACAAGTAAACTTCATCCTTAATACTTAAGAAAAGTAGGTTTTTTGATACATATTAATGAAAAAATATAAAAAAAAATATAATCCAGAAAATTAAGAGTAGAAATGAGAGAAAGCAAAACCAACTAACCAGTATTGTCAGTCCATGCTCAGTGATGTGTGAAGAGTTTAACAAATTGAACACAAAACAGATTACGTTCCATTGGGTGTGTTCAATTTGTTAAACTCTGCACACATCACTGAGCACGGACTGACAATACTGATGAGTTGGTTTTGCTTTCTCACATTTCAACTGTGAATTTTCTGGATTTTATCTTTAATTTTTTTCACTAAAACACAACAAAATTTCTACTTTTTTTAAGTATCAAAGATGAAGTTTTACTTTGTGAAAGTGCAAGGATGTCAACCAAATGCGTCCCTAAATTCGTAGTTTCAATAATTTCCAGGTAAAATAAGTTTTTTTATGATATTTCCATGTGAAATACTATAGCCAAACATGTCATGATCTAGTCGAAAATTTTAGAAAATATTAACTTTAAATCTGAGTCTATGCCCCTTTAAAGGTCATACACAAGAAAATAATTCACTATATTTTACTATAAAGCCTTGATTAAATTAATCAATTAATATGACCCTCACTAGATAAAAGATGAAGAAAAAATGAATGATGCTTGGACAAAAATTTGAGACCAGAAATAAAATAATTCCTTATGCAGCTTTTAATAGAGAAAATTGTTATTATTGATAGGTAAGATACCTTCAATCATGTGGATTTCACATGCTGATAAACAGTTTACACACCATCCAGGAAGTTGCATCATGAGCACCTAAAAAAAGAGTATTCCTTAAATTCATTGATTGCCTACAAGTATAATATTCCTAATATTTGAGTAAAAAATAAATACTGTAGGCCTAAAATGAGAAACCGAAAAAGAAAACCTGAAAAGAAATTGTCTCTTTCTACAAAGAACAATAACTGACTAAGTTCATTTTGATTTGCTATTCCTGGCTCTAAGCTAAGCATGGCATAACAAGGGTCTACTGGAAAGAAACGGTAAATTATTCATATGGTAAAAAATTAACAAATCAAACTTTGTAAATAAATACCCAAGCACTTGGTTTTGTCTATGATTTCGACAAAATGTTATTGATCTCCAAAAATTTTTGTTTATGTGTGCTGAGCCACAGTAAAATTTTAAATGTTGTAGAACTGTATATCCATATCTAGATTCAGTAAGAAATTTCTAGTCATTTGACAAGTTAATTTCACAGTTTCCCCAAAGTTTGATTAACAATGTTATGGTTAATAAAATATCATCCAATTTAAGCTTATAATTATATTATTAAAGTGCAATTTGTCAAAGTAAAAAATGCCTGTAAAAAGAACAAGTGGCCATGGGCAACAATGCTCACGCGAGTCACTATGGCCTTGCTGTTCTACTTTTTTTTTTTACTACACATGATGATGTATATTTATTCATATGTAAAAATTTGATTGTCCATTGTGGCCCCACCCTACTAGGGGGGGGGGGGGGGGAGGGGGGTCATGATTTAAACAAACCTGAATGTACAATAAGTAATGAAGCTTTCAGAGAATTTTCATTTTCTGGTCCACTGATTCTTGAGAAGAAATGTTTTTTAAGATGCCATTAAATTTACAACAATTCTTAATTATTTCCCCTTGAAAGAGGGTGTAGCCCTTCATATGAACAAACTTGAATTTCCTTTACCCAAGGATGCTCTGTGGCAAGTTTGGTTAATATTGGCAAAGTGGTTCTGGAGAAAAAGATGAAAATGTGAAAAGTGTCGCTGCCTCCAACAACAACAGTGACAGACAACAGACAAATTTTGATCAGAAAATCTCTCTTAAGCCTTTGGCTCAGGTGCGCTAAAATAAAAAATGGAGAAATAAAATTTATTGTTAATGACAGTTTAACTATGTATTTTAAAACTCTTTCTCAAATACCATGGATATGTCTAAGTGCTCAAGTTCAGTGAGTTTATGAACTTTACCCGCTATTCTTGAAACCTCAATTATCTGTTTCTCAAAGGGTTTTTTTTTTCAGTCCCATCTATTGCCATAATAGGCTTATCTCCAGGGGGTCCTCATGACTAGCAATTACATAAGCAATAATGTTTTTGGATATTAATATACTGAAATAAATAAAACTGAATAATTAAATGACAAGATATGCATTCAACATTGGGTGACACAATTGGGGAAAATATTCTGGCATGTTACCCTCGAAGTAAGTGATTGTGAAATTTACTTGTCTGAACATAACTTTTACTGGTATAAAAATATTTCATAAAAGACCTATTTAACAATTTGAAAAAATATTGTACATTACAATAGTCTATAATACATTCATTGAGTCTGTTTTTGAGATTTTGAGTGGACACATCTATTGCAAATTACTAAACTGTATCATCCTATCCTAAAGTAGATGTAAATCATGTTATATAATTACATGTATGAAAGAAAAATAGTAACAACAAGAAATAGCTGACTATATGACTTCAAATTTTTCTTTGCCTTCTTTTGCTTATCCTTTGTAGCCTAAATTGTCTTTTGCTAAAGCTCTCCTGCCAGATAATAAAAACCCAAATTTCCTTCAGTAAAAGTACACGTTTCAAAGTTACTGTAGTTCTAAGTAGTCAACTTCCTGGTACTTTAAATATTAAAATTAAAATTGTGACAAATGCCTGAAAAACATAAGATATTTCAGACAAGTTTCATAGTAACATTGTTCCTGATCAAGTTTGACAACCAGGGCCATCATTATTACGAGCAGGATCATTCAACATTTAACTATTTACAAACCGCATGCATGGCATGTTTTCACTTTGAACCTCCGATAAAAAGTTGACAACAAATTTTAATTCTTTAAGTTTTCATGCTCAGCTAAAAAAAATTCTTCCTAGAAAAATATCCCTTGTCAAATCGGACAAGTGGTCAGTAATTATCACTTGTTCATGAAAAATTTTACTGGTACATGTACTGGACAAGTGGATGAGCATACAATGTCGAGCCCAGGAACTCTGCCCCATTTTTTGTTTATATTTGCCTTAGCAAACAACAGCATTAAATCTCGAACCCAAGCTATTATAATATGTAGCATAAAAGCACACGAGGATGATCAAGAGGGTGTTACAACTGTTTCTGTTTTGTTGTATTTGTTTCTAGTATTTGTTATTAACTGTTTCTGATATGATATGAATTCTTTATGGTATATAGAGTGAGACTATATTTGTGATAAAAACATGATAAAAAAAATTATTAAAAAATGTTTTTCAAAAATGTAAATGATACTAGTAGTATAAATAGAGGATATTCAATGTTTTGTAGATGAATATGGAATTTATTTCATGAGTGGGACAGGATTTTTTGATATTTTCACGAGTGCGAAGCACGAGTGAAAAAATAAAAAAATCCTGTCTCACGAGTGAAATAAATTCCATATTCATCTACAAAACATTGAATTTTCTGTTTATTACATTTTCTTTGATTTTCCCTTTGCCTCTGTCTTTTCTTAACACTGTCATAGGCTTGACGTCGTAGTTGAGCGGTTGAGACGTCATAGCTTAGCGCTGCAGTTATGTGATTGAAAACATTACATAGCATGGATTTTAGCAACATATTTGGGAAGAAATTTGCAGTTTTAGCTCTATCAAGATGCTTAGTTAATATCTATCTTATGACAGGCCAGAAATTAATTTTTACTTTCTTTGATTTCCTTGAAATCACACTGTGAGAGAATATCATTTTGGTATCCTTTCACACTGTGAGAGAATATCACTTTTATTCAATAAATAAATCACAGTATTTCACTGTTGAAAATGTAATAAAAACTCATTTTTAAGCATTTTAGAGTAGAATATAAACATCGAACCTAATGGGTCCTAGAAAAAAACTTTATGATATCCTACGATTCAAGATACTGAAGTTAAAATATGTACTTGTAGCATAGCATAAATTTTCCATCTTTAACGCTCAGTTATATCTCGATAAATATTGCTAATGAGAGGAGGAACACAATTAATATTTTTATCTTCATGATAACACAAATCTAAATAAGTCAGTTATTTTTATAGCTAATTTAGCCTTCATTAAGTTCAACAAATTTCTTTAAATCTGTTCAGAATCAGAAAAGTAAAAAATATTTATGCATTCGGACACAGGCATGTCTGATCGACACTGACTAGTAAAAGTTTGGTCCTGTCTAAAAATTGAGTGTACATCTGACATGTAAAATTAATATAACAAGTGTGCAGCATGTGTATTTTATTCATCTGCTCTCATGTACACACTGGATTCGAAATACCCCAAACTGTAGGGGTCTACAAATACAGTCATGATTTTAATGATTTTAGGTTAAAATTAAAAACAAGTAATTGTAATTGGAAGTATTCTATCAATACTAATATGTCAAGTTTCATCCACCAGTATAATGCTACGACATTGACGAGAAAAAACCATGCGTTTTCGACATGGGCATTTCTTCAATCAATTTCTTTATGTACCAGTATAAATTTATAAGAATCCTCTTGGGTTTTAATGTCATGGAGGAGGGTGCATTTAGTCATCAGGATGTTGTAACGCGGTCTTAAAACTCTTTAATAGCTTTGGGGCACGAACTACTTTTAAATTAGTTAAATAATCTAACTGCGTCTCCAGACGAGCCCTCACCACACCTCTCTTAAACCGGGTCTGAAGCACATTAATCATTTTAATGATTAGAAAATTCTATCTACAACTACTTCCTCTTCCAGATGACTCCAGTCTATTGCAGTGCAAACAAAAAATGAATTTTATATTTTTTGGTTTTGGTGTTTGGTATCTCCACTGCTTTACTGTTGTTACAAGGATTAAAGCAAGTAAAACTATGAATTAAATTATTTTTAACCCCACTAGTGATTGTACCAGCTAAATGATTGTGCATCAGTGTATCGTCCAAGTGTAGAATTGTAGATATCTTTTTATTAAAACTTTGAATTTGATAGATTTGAACGTAGGCGACTAACCGTATGTTTCTTACACATTCTTCTAATACTTTCACAACAAAACACTCGCCGCAACCATTCTTATTAGTCATCCTAAGCTTCCTCAGTCCTCGGTCGGAGCCTGTACTGCCATTTTGGTTGGCTAAATAACCCGACCCACTATTGTTTCGTAAATTGCCAACCCGTTTTTTTTTTCTTAAATACAGAACATTTAATTCTAATAAATCAGATCTTATTTCCTCTGGTAATCCATCACATTTTTTCAGACCAGCTGTACAGCATTTGAAGACAGAATTAAAAGATAAATATTTATTTATAATTGCCATGTCGAACCTCGCATCAGTCGATGCTGAAGAAAGATGGTGATGAGGACGGAAATGCACAATTCATTTATTTTATTGATTAATCCTATTGCAAGTAATTGATGATAGTATCGTCATGATTTTTTCATAAATATGCAATACAGAATTAAAAAGTTTTGAAATTATTGGTAAATAAACATGATAAATGGCAATATTGATAATGTATTTTTTATCACCCTGTATACATACTGAGTGTAGGGCACTGTATTACAGTTTATCTGGTAGAGTTTGAAATGACATTTGTTGAATCATAAAATATGTTCTTAAAGTGAAGAAATTGCATGCGTCCACTCCAATTAAATAAACGAGAAAACTACATGCATGGGTCCCAACTTGCATTTCATTCTATGTTAGGGGTCTCTTAGCAATACCCAGAGACCTATATAGTAATATACTAACAAAATATCACATAATTTATTCGATATATACACACCATCTTGTAAAATGATGTATCGTGTCATAGGAGATGTTCTATTGCACACCTTAAACATACACATAGCCCAATCACCCTGTTGTATGTGTTAAATGTCTATGCATATTTATGTGTTATGTGATTTACATTTGTTGTGCAGTACTTGTACATTGTTTAAAAGAATTTTTAATTATTTTAAAGATAAAGTCTTGGGTTCCTGTATTTATTTTGGGGCAGACAATAGTCACTAATTTAATTTAGGGTATGTGTACATCAGAAATTAAATTTGTGTCTTTGATTTAGTTGCTTTCAAATTGGCTTTTAGATCAGTCTCTACTCCAGTGGAGAGGATGATTCCTCTTGATTCTGGAGTCAAAAGGTCAAAGTTATGATTGCAGGGTATGGATATGGAGTGAAAAAGAGAAGATAATGAACAGTGATCTATTTCATAAAAATTACAAACAATACAAATCTTTGAACACTGCATAAACACAGACCCCCTGAAATTCCAGAGGTGGGATCACGTGCCAAGGAGGATTAAGCATCCCCTGTTGACCGGCCACACCCACTGTGAGCCCTATATATTGATCAAGTAGATGGAATATTCGATAGTCAAATTTAGTATATAAACAAAGGCCTAACAATTGGTATGAAGCAAGTCAGCCAAAATACGACCCAGTGATAGGTTATATTTGCTAACAGGTAAATCTTTGTACACCCTTGATTACACCTGGATAACAAATCTTTATTTCCTATATAACCTAATAATTTCTCTGTAAACCCAATTCCACTAAGATTTACTACATGCTTCAATACATCGTGACATCATGTTGTATGGTGTTTATTTGATATAGAAACTATTCATTGTGATGTCACATTATTTAACCCCACCCACCCCACCCTAGCTTTAGCTGGGTGTAAGGAAAAATTTACACCCCGCTTGCTAACCAATCAGATCTCGTGTTTTAAGATACATAGGAAATAATTATGGACTTTTATTGAAGGTTATATAAAGATTTTTCAATCCAAAGAAACATGAATTATATCAATTGAGGCAATGAAATTATAATTATTTTACCAAACTTTTTCATTATTTCATAAATATCTCTAAAGCTTTTGAATATGGTCCATGTATACTGCCCTACTCATCTGCAAAAATGGGTACAAAACTGGTTGTTACAAAAAAACTTGGAAGTACTTGCACATGGACTACTTGGGAGCTACTTCATAGTTAGATTACTTTTTCTGTTTAACACGACAAAATGCTATAATGGTTACAACCAAAAGATTTACTTGAAATGCTTCACTTATATAGTAGCATTTATTATCTTGATACATCAGCTTTGTATATTTATTAGTATGATTGCAAATAGATGAACAGGCAAGCACATATGCTAAAGTGTTCCTTCACTTTGATTTTTTAATTATTTTAATAGATACTACCTATTTTTGAAACATATTTTCTGATCTGTTCCTAGAACGAATCATAAAATTGATAAATGAATGAACTTCTTTTCTACAATTTCAGTACTGACCAGTAAATGAAGCCAGGTTTCTCAAACTTTCCATTTTGACATTTCTGATCAATTTAAGTTATGTGTATAATATCTTGTAGTTGAATACATAAAAAGAGTTGGTAAAATGTATATAATTATGAACTTTTAACTAATTGTTAATTTATTTTATTTAAATTATATGTAGTAATTGATTAATGAGTGGGTGGTTGTTTAGAACTATAAAAGTATGCATCAAAATGTGAAAACTTGTTGGTGATTCATATGAAATTCATCAAATGCTAAATAAGAAACATGCACATGCAGTCAAACCTCATTATTTTAAAATAGATGGAACTGAAAAAACTTAGAGATATAGGAGTATTCAAGATATCGTGTGTTAATTTCTTAAAAAATAAGTGGTTCGGACTTCCAGTTAACTTTGACATATCCATGGTTACCGTATTCAAGTTATCAGTGCTTGAGATACCAAAGTTCAACTGTATTTAAATTTTCAGTGACTGAACACTTTTGGAATGCATCTGATACACCTGCACAAACAAAAGTTTCTAGAAAATAAACACTTATTTAAAATTGCAGTGCTTTCTCCTGAGAAATATTAGGATTCAAGGAGACTCATTTATAACTATGAATGACTAAAAAGGGTCAATAGTTCAATGCTGTAGTTCCTTATTCTAGCTTGACATTTGATTTTTTGTTGTTGTTGTTGTTTAACGTCCCTCTCGAGAATTTTTCACTCATATGGAAATGCTACCACTTGCCGGTGGAGAGCTGCAAATTTTGACTTGTACTTGATACTCAGGGCCATTGAGCAGTGAGGGATCTTTTTCGTGCCAGCACCTACTGCGACACTGGACCTCGATATATATGGTCTCATCCGAAGGATCGGTCTCCATGTCCTACAGTGGGATTCGAACCCACGACGTAAGGATCAACTCCTTACTCCGCGACTCTAGAGCAAATGCTCTAACCACTGCGCCACACAGGTGACGCTTGACATTTGAAATTCAAAGTAAAAACATTAATGTTTTATACACAATTTATAATACTCTAATGCTTCATATATGGGCAAAATGTAACATGAAAAAGTATAATATTTTATCATCTATGGGACTATAGTCATATGTTGTTACCTACCATAAAGCCCTTTGGATTCCATGGGATTTGATCACATGACCAACCTGTATCTATAACCCTATGGTAATTTTAAAGGGGATAGAATAAATGTGTCAGAAATACTTAAGCTTGTCCCTTAATAACCAGTCCTTTAGCTATAATATCTAAGTTTTCTTAGCTTTAAACCAAAAGAAATTTAACTTAAAAATCCAGCTGTTTTAAAAAATCATACAGTCGTGTATCTTTATAACCAAGTTGATTTGTAAAGGCAAAAAAATCAAAAATGTGCAGATAGTGAAAACAATTACAGGGTATATGCGATATATGGTATAGGTCTAATTGGCGACTAATTAAGTCGCTATAGCACCTAAAAATTATGATTGGTGCCTAAAATTTTTCTAGAATTCGCCAAATTGGCGACCATTTTAAATTGGCTTGGTGATCATCAAATTACTGAATTATAAACATTTTTTTTAATTTTTTTTTTTTTAGAAAGACCCGAAAAGAAGCAATGGACATGTCATTAATATTGACTAATATCAGTTTTTAGATTGGTGCCTAAGAAAAATTTACTTGGCGGCAAAAAATTTGCATAGGTGACTAAATTTTTTTTTCATAAGGAGCCAGTTGGTGCCTAAATTTTAGAGGTCACATAGAGGCCTGTGGTAGAGTCAACATATTTAGTGCATGTTTATCAATTTACCAGTCGCGACGTGGCATAGAGTATAGAGCTTTTGCTCCAGAGTTGCAAAGTAAGGAGTTGATCCTTACTTCAAGGGTTTTAATCCCATTGTGGGACCTGAAAACCGGTCCTTTGGATGAAACCGTATAAAGCAGGTTCTTTGTTGCAGTAGGTGTTTGCACAAAATATCCCTTAATGCTAATATAAATGGCCATAAGTGCTGAGTTCAGGTCTAATTTTGCAGCCCTCCACAGGGAAGTGGTGGCTTCTTAACATGAGTAAAAAATTCTCGAAGGGACGTTAAATAAACAGTAAAAAATCATTTTACCAAGGAGAGAAATCAATTGTTAATAAATAGAACATCATATTTGACATAAACAGAATAAAATATGAAATCTAATTCAATTTGAGCAAATATTTTTCAAATCTAAGAATTGTCGAAACTTCCTGAGGTATTGATTATTTTTAACTCTGAGAATGAATTGGATGTTTGAAATTCTTTGGAATCTTGACTTATTTTAAGTGCATTATATAAGACTTATAAACTATGTCTCAAAGAGCAGCAGTATTTGGTTTATGTGACTACATAGGTAGTGCATATAGTCAGTGACAATTACTCCTCTAAGAGGCTATCAAGTCATTTCCTCTGAGGCATGGAGATCAAAGTCACCTGCATGGTGCAATGGTTAGAGCATTTGCTTTAGAGTCGAAGAGTGAGTTTGTTTGTTTTTATGTTGTTTAACGTCCCTCTCGAGAATTTTTCACTCATGTGGAGACGCCACCACTTGCCGGTGGAGAGCTGCAAATTTTGTCCTATACTCGGCACTTATGGCCATTGAGCAGTGAGGGATCTTTTTCCTGCCAGCACCTACTGCGACACGGGACCTCGGTTTATACGGTCTCATCTGAAGGACCGGTCTCCACATCCCACAGTGGGATTCCAACCCGCGACGTAAGGATCAACTCCTTACTCCGCGACTCTAGAGCAGACGCTCTAACCACTGCGCCATGCGGGCGACGAGTCGAGGAGTAAGATGATCCTTACATTGTGGATTCAAATCCCATAGCAGAAC